TTCTAATTGTGTTAAAGGATTGGGGCAACTTAATACATGGAAATAAAGTTTAGATATTTGATTAGAAATTTCTTTTGTTTAAGTACCACATTAGAAAAAAGTGCGATAGTTCAGGGGTTAAATGGGGTATTATCCCTTTATTATTTGCTATCCAATTCTAAAACAATTCAAAATTTTGAACTGTAGGCGCAAAACTTTACTTAATTTTTAGTTGGCTTGTATGTTGTTAAAATTGCTGTACATCAATGTGATTTTCTCCAAGGAAACCTCTTATATTTGAGATAGGGTTAATGTCATGAATGGTCCCTAAACTATGATAAAATGCTTAATGTGATACCTAAACTTTGAAAATCTGTAATTTGGTATCTGAACTATAAATCTATTAAATAATGTGTTACCTATTCCTAATATGGCTAGTTTCAAATGATAACATGTGGCAGACAAACAACCCTCCAAGTACGCACATTAGTTAAGAAATTCTTAATTCGAGTATCACATTGAATATTTCACTATAGTTTAGGGTCATTCATGACATTAACCCTTAGAGGTAAATTTAATTGTGAAGTCACCTTGTTTTTACGCACATCTTCTGTTTTATTGTTGTGTTGGTAAGAATTATTTACAATAGTTTCCCATTTGGACCAGTGTATTGGACCTTTTGGATTATATAACCTCAGATGCAGATCTAAAAGCAAGAGATGCCCAAAAGAAAACCCGTGCAAAGGTTAGTCACCTAACTAATCCCTTGCTGTCCTTTTGGTTGCTTATCATCTTCATTGACAATGGATCTAAGCAAAGTTTCTATTCAACAAACAGATTAAGGGCAAACCAGCCCGAAACTGGGAGACAGTCTCAGATGAATATCAGAATGATGAGATTTCATCACCAACTTATCCTTTTATGGAGAATTCGAGTGATAAGGAAAAAGAATCTGAAGATCAATTCATGGAACCTGATACGCTTCTACCAGATAAACCAGTGCTGATTAAATATGTTGGCCAAAAACAGGATGACATTAGTTAAGAAATTCTTAATTCGAGTATCACATTGAATATTTCACTATAGTTTAGGGTCATTCATGACATTAACCCTTAGAGGTAAATTTAATTGTGAAGTCACCTTGTTTTTACGCACATCTTCTGTTTTATTGTTGTGTTGGTAAGAATTATTTACAATAGTTTCCCATTTGGACCAGTGTATTGGACCTTTTGGATTATATAACCTCAGATGCAGATCTAAAAGCAAGAGATGCCCAAAAGAAAACCCGTGCAAAGGTTAGTCACCTAACTAATCCCTTGCTGTCCTTTTGGTTGCTTATCATCTTCATTGACAATGGATCTAAGCAAAGTTTCTATTCAACAAACAGATTAAGGGCAAACCAGCCCGAAACTGGGAGACAGTCTCAGATGAATATCAGAATGATGAGATTTCATCACCAACTTATCCTTTTATGGAGAATTCGAGTGATAAGGAAAAAGAATCTGAAGATCAATTCATGGAACCTGATACGCTTCTACCAGATAAACCAGTGCTGATTAAATATGTTGGCCAAAAACAGGATGACACCTCTGATGAAGGATGGCAAGAATCTGTTCCTAAAGGTCGTTCACCTACAGCTCGTAAATCTTCCGCTTCAAGGAGGCCAAGCCTAGCCAAACCGAATACAAATTTGATGAATGTGTCCCAAACCTCAAGATACTGGGGAAAGCCCAGTAATTTCACATCTCCAAGAACAAACCGTAATGAACCTACTGCTTCAGCCAGACCTAGTCTTCCTGCTTCGAAAAAGTTTGTTAGAAGTTCAAGCTCCCATCCAAAGCTAAATAATCCAAGCAGCTCAGCCGGCGGAGTGGAGAAACTGGTAAACCCAAAATCAGCCCCTACTAGACACGCTTTAACTGATCAAGTTTCCAAGCCTACACAAGTATCAACTCCAATCAGTGTGCAGGCAACTGGGAAGAAATTCTCCTACAAGGAAGTTGCTTTGGCTCCACCTGGGACAATTGTAAAGGCAGTGGCACAGCAGTTGCCAAAAGGAAATCCTCTCCCAGAACAAAATGCTCAGGAAAGCCAAGAGACTGCAGAACCAGATGTCACACCTAGGGATGTGGCAACACTAATGGTCACTGGGGAAGAAGTTCCGAAAGCCACTGGAGAGAAAGAGTTTCTAGGTTCTGAGACAGAAGTGAAAAGCACTGCCAATGAAGAAATAAAAGTGCAGACAAGGGAATCAGTGATGATAGAAGCTTTGACAGAAAAAAAGGGCACTGCAATTGAAGACATAAAAATAGAAGCTGGGACAATAGAAGTCAGAAGTGATGTTGAAACCACAAAAACAGAAGCTGCAAATGGATTTTCACATTCTGATTTTTGCAAGGAGTCAATTAGTGTTCGTTCAAAAATTGAAGCATTGGAAATCGAATCTTTAGACAAATGGCAAGTTACATGTTCCAACTCAGAACCTTTGGTTGTTGTAACTGAAAAAACAGCTCAGTCGCCAGAGAAAGAGGTCTCTATTGCCACAGGAAAAGTTTTAAATGAAGATCCTCTGGAGCTACCTGGTGGTGAAGTTAGTGTTAAGCAGTTTCCAACTGAAGGAGAAAAGCAAGATGAAGCAGAAATTGGTAAAGAGACAACAAAAAAACTTTCTGCAGCTGCACCCCCATTTAGGCCATCCATAAATCTAGTTTTTAGCTCAGTTATAGTTCCTTGTTTCAAGGATCATGGAGGAATCCTGCCCCCACCAGTGAATATACCTCCAATACTTCAAGTCAACTCTGTCCGTAGATCATCTCATCAATCTGCGACAGGTAGCATGCCATATGGACCTAGGCTCTCTGGAGGTTATAACAGATCCAGAAATCAGGTTCCATGCAATAACTTTAGCTACCACAGCAGTGAACATTCTGGAGAAGGGAACCACTACAGTCCTCCAAGAATAATGAACCCACATGTAGCTGAGTTTGTACCTGGCCAACCTTGGGTGGTTCCCAATGTCTACCCTATATCTCCAAATGGATTTTTGGCTTCAGCAAATGGCATGCCAATTTCACCAACTGGTTATCCCGTGTCCCCAATGACACCAAATGTTGTTCCTCTGACTCACAACTGCAATAGGATCAGTGGAATCAGCAGCTGTTGTAACCGTTGATATTTGAAGCAGTAGCAGAGCAGACTCCGGAGAGTTCTCCATAGAATTTGAAGGTGAAAACCAATCAATTGAGCAGAAAGCACCAAAGGTCAATCTTTAGACAATGAAAACAAGCTTCTTGAAAATGAAGGAAAGCTAGATGTGGTTCTTTTGACTGGTGGTGTTACTGCGGCAAAAGAAGCTTGCAGTAAAATACAAGTTGATGCAAAATTGATTAAGTGTTGGGGAGATTACAGCGATGCTGAAGCTGAGATTCTTGAGGCTACAGGTTGAAGAAAACAAGATCATTTTTGGATACTAATTGATTTGTTCGTAGTCAAGGGTTGTGTAGCACTAGAGTTACAAGGGACAAGTAGTGATTAACAATGCAGAGCCACTTGGGACTGGCAAAAAGGATGGGGAAAGTTTATTTTGCCAGGTTTTTGAAAGAACAGATGATTTAAGTGAACAAAGTTTTAAATTAATTTTGTTAAGTATACAGAATGCCTTAAAAAGATGAACTTCACAAATAAATGATATCCTTAGGCATTCGGTGATAGCTCGGATGGCAATTCTTGATAGACTTACAGCAAAGCAGAGGATTAACTTTTGGAGCAGTGAAGTCAGTTTTTGTTTGCTTCCTTTGCAATGTGGATGTTGAATCTCGTGATCAACCCTTCTTAACCTTAATTCTTTCCCAAACTAATTTGGGCTCAGGTCCTGCAACATTGTGGCCTTCTGAGACCAGTTGGTGACTAGCATCAGGACTTTCAGTGGGCTAAGCTGAAAAACAAAGGCAAAAGCTCTGCTGGAAATCATTCTCTTGCTTGGCATGCTTAAATCTATTTGATTTGATCTGAAAGGGACAGCAGAAGGCAGGCCCCCTGGTACATGCTAAACCAAGATCAATTCAGAGTTAGATTACTTCATAGATAAACCTCATGTACAGGATCTACATTTAATATGGTTATAGTATTTAATTTGAAGTAATAGAGGTAAGAAATTGTACGTTTAAAAATTAATGGTCACTTATAGATTAATGAAGGCAGTCTGCAATTAATCGTAGCTAGAACTATTTAGTATAAAGTTATACTGCTATATGTGATCCAAAATGCTCTAGCTTTATTGCATTTTTAGAGGAATTATATCTAGAAAACATTCTGGCAAACTTAAATTTTTTTTTTATTGCAAAGGAAAGTTAGTGCTCTTACAAAAGAAAAAGAAGGGATGATAGGGTCAAATTCACGTCTACGTAACTTTCAATCAGTTTCTTAATCACTTAGGCTAAGAGGGAAAAGTCTTTTGACAAACTTAATTAATATACATTTACAGATATCGAAACTATAATAATTTAATTAACGAAGTATTATTTCGTCACGTCAAAATTAATCAATTGATACATACAAACAACAATTGATAAAGTGAATTATTAGTGAATGGAAAATAAAATGAATTTAGGGTTTAGTTTAGTTTAATTGATTTATATTATCATTTTTAATATATGACATTTATCATATGTAATTTGTTGTAGAGTGTTGATTTTTAATTCACGTGATCATTAGTTAAATTCGAATAGTTTTAAATTTTAAAAAAAAATCTAAAATTTAAATCAAAATTTAACTTTTATAATCTTTATTCTATCGGATAATTATGATTTTTTTAAAACTAGTAATAAAAAGAATCTCAAAATATATATATTTTTGTCTTACTATACTACTTTTCCAAATACAGCTAAACTGAATTGAAACGTTGTCTTATTTTTTGTACAAAAACAAATCAGCTTCCACGCGTTTCATGAAAATAAAATCTAATTCAATTAAAAATAAACAAAGGTGACAGTATCAACACAGCAAAGGGAAATTATTTAAGAGATAGAAAACGAGTCGAGTGAATAAAGGGGATTGCCTTCAGACTATAATCAGTAGGAGAAAATGCTAAAAACTCATCATTTACAGCCTTGAATACGCGATGGAAATAGCACAAAGTTAGGTAAGACAAGGAAGAAAGGGACCTCGAGCCGGTTAAAGACGGCAATAAACCAAATTTTTTGTGTAGCCGGCTATCTGTAATTTGCCAGGACACAATCTTCCAAACCCATATAATTTTTTTTTACCTCTCTTCTCATCACCCCTTTAAAACCCTCTTCATTGGAGGACTCAGTCATATCTGTTTTCCACTTTTTTTTATCACGTTTAACATTTTCATCTTCTTTGCCTTGACGTACGTAGCTGAACAAGGTTTTTCATGGCGAAATTATCACAGCAGAACCAGAAAAACAATGGACAAAGTAATATTAATAACAATTTCAGTAACACTACAAGTAATGGTGTTACTAAGGTGAAGAGAACTAGGAGAAGTGTTCAAAGGGATTCACCTCCTCAACGTAGCTCAATTTATCGAGGGGTCACTAGGCAAGTCATATTAGTTATAAAATTACGTTGAATTTTCTTGATATATATATGTATCTTGATTTCAGTTACCTGATCGCTTGCATGATGCTGATTGTTTCAGGCATCGGTGGACAGGTCGATATGAAGCTCATCTCTGGGACAAGAATTGCTGGAATGAATCACAAAACAAGAAAGGACGCCAAGGTTCATTACCCTTTTTCTGTTTTCTTTTCTTATTGATCTTACTTGATCAGTTATATAAAGAGCAGAGAGTTTATTGATTTCTTTTTCTCTTCCTTCATGGTCGCTGGTGCTGTTGTGGTTTGCTGCTGCTATTCATACTCAAAATACAGTCTACCTTGGTAATTAACTATTACTTTCAGAGGATTTTTTAATGCTGTTTTTGTACTGGGTTTTTCTTTTACCTCACATTTGGGAAATTTATTGCTTTTTCAGGTGCTTATGATGATGAAGAAGCTGCAGCACATGCTTATGATTTAGCAGCACTCAAATATTGGGGTCAAGATACCATTCTTAACTTTCCGGTAATTTTATGGTTTATTTTCATCAGCACTGTGCCTTTTATTAGGAAGATTGAAGAAAGAAACTTATTCAACATTAACAATGCAGTTATCAACATACCAGAAGGAATTGAAAGAAATGGAAGATCAGTCAAGAGAAGAGTATATTGGATCATTGAGAAGGCGAGATCGATCAATGACTGATGAGCTTCCTACAGTACTGCTTATGATATGTTTATGTGCATTGAGTTATAATAATGTTTTTGGTCTTGAATTTGCAGGAAATCCAGTGGTTTCTCTCGCGGAGTTTCGAAATATAGAGGTGTTGCTAGGTATTTATGTCAACATTTTCATCTTTTGTGAGTGAAAGCTTTAAATTGTTAGAGCAACCAGGCTCTTAACAAACAATTTTATTGAAAAACTTACATCGGGGCATATATATATATATATATATATATATATATGTGCATGGCTATACCTCCTGCATCTACAAAGCTATAGTAGTACGTACCTAGTGGATTTGCAGCATCTTAGTTAAAATCTTTCTGGTCATCTACATCCCAAATGCAACATTCTTTTAATTTATTACCAAATTTGTCTTATTTAGTTGTTTTTCAATGTCAATGAACAGACATCATCACAATGGGAGATGGGAGGCTCGCATTGGCAGAGTGTTTGGCAACAAATACCTCTATCTTGGGACATATGGTATTAACTCCCTTGTTTCTTCTTTTCTGTCTTTTTCTTCCTTTTACTGATTCCAAAGCAAGCTAGCCTCTGCCAAATGTTATGTAAGAAGCAAAAAACCCGAAAGAAAAATCAAAGAGAAAAAGGTTAAAAAAGCTTAGACTTAAGTTCTATCTGAGTACAAAATGTATCTATAACTATTCTGGTCCTAGATGGATTTAACACTTTTCTTTTTGCCCATTTCTTTCAAAGCTTATGGCGTTTGTGTAATGGACATTCAACTATAGACATGAATGCCCCATCACTCATTCATAATCCTACCCAATAAGAAAGGCTAGCTCACTTTTTCAGCTTCATTGATTAAAATACTCAAAAAGCAAGATTGAAAAGGACAAGTAAGTTGATCAGAATATTTCAGGTTGTTAAACAAACACTAGAAATAAGGGCGGGTTCATACTCAAAAATAGTGTTCATGGAAAAACAAAAATGTTTAATTAAAAGAAAAAAATTTTTAACACCCTAAAATTTTTCTCTAATTATCTTTTGCATCGACATAATTAATAAATCCGACAATTTTTTTATATATATTATATAATTAAATACCCTAAAAAATATCCTGAATTCATTGCTGACAAAAAACTTATGAAACTTATGAAGCTTTAACCATATCTGAAATCTGTTTCTTTGGCCAAGCATAAATAAATAAATATACATATATATATATATATATATATATATGTTTGCTACTTTGTTATAGTTTCCATGGCAGTCAGGGCATGGATGGATGCCCAATTGTCTAACAGATAAATATTGAGTTATTGGAGAAGGATTAAAGTCAATTTAGTAGGATGGTCCAGCAACTTTAACAATTGTGTTAATGCTATCTAAATACAAGTGAACAAAGTTTCAACCTACCCTCCATTATTTTATTTAGAAATGAGTCATTTTTAGGCTATTCTCACTGCAAAATAATCCTCCAATGGTCTGTTCATTGACTTTTGCAGCTACCCAGGAAGAAGCTGCCACCGCTTACGATATGGCTGCAATAGAGTACCGGGGATTAAATGCTGTCACAAACTTTGATTTAAGCCGCTACATCAAATGGCTTAAGCCTAATCAAACCAATGCTGACAGTAACCCTAACCATAGCCCTAATATCGACACTATTACTGCAACAACTTCAACAGTAACACCAAACCCTAATCAAGAGCTTAACCTAAGCTTCTTTGGCAACAATAACCAGCAGCTGCAAGCCTCCAGTGTCCCTAATGAAACCGTGCTGACTCAACCACGGCCTGTGAATGCCACATCAGCCCTAGGGCTTCTTCTTCAATCTTCAAAATTCAAGGAGATGATGGAGATGACATCGGCTGAAGATCACTGCCAATTGACACCACTGGTATCGGAACCAATGCAATGCAGCTTTCCTGAAGACATACAAACGTACTTCGAATGTCAATATTCGAGCAGTTACGTAGAGGCAGGTGCTGATATTATTTTTGGTGAACTCAACTCGTTCATCCCACCAATGTTCCAATGCGACCTTGATGCCTAGACCAAGCCAATTCTAGTGCATTGTGGATGACTTGTCTCTTAACTTTTCTTCATTTATTATTCATATATATAAACCAATAAAAATATACAAAAAAATAAATTCAAAGTTTAACTCAATTTATTCATCTAGTATTTTGCAGATTCAAAATCTCTTTCTCTATTTTTAAACTGCGGTCGCCTATATAAAAGGGAAAAAATGTGCAAAAGGGCAAGGCCGGTGATAAGATTTTGGATTTGACTTGGTCTAGAAATTAAACAGTTATTGCAAAGGGAGGAAAAAGGCTAGGAAGATTAGATGACAAGAAAACATATAGCTTTGCTCCATGCAGGGTACGAAGTGGACAGACATGGCGGCTGATCAATATATTTGGTTCATTTCTTGTAGATTGGAGAAGAAAATAAACATTTGCATTTAAGATTTTTTTTCTATCAATAAGAAATCAATATTTCTCGATCATTGTCTGTATTTGCCCAGCCAGTTGGTGATTATAAGCATCATTTTCCAAAGAGAAATATATATGATTAATGCATTAATCCAATATCACAATCATCCATCAAAATCAATAAGCCACTTGGCAGCCGCAAACGAATATGCAAAGAAAATGTGAATTAATTTAATGAGAAATTTCAACTATATGACAAAGGAAAAAATCAATCGATTTTTGAACAAATTTATATTGACAAAATTTCATTTTCAATCAAAGTAATAATTTGATCAAAACAGTCACATAGATTGCATATATTATGACAACTTTATAATAATAACGATGATGAAAATGATGTAGTGATCAGTTTTTGTTTTTATTCTATTTTGTTTGGATTTAGATTTCAATTTATAAACTAAAATAATAATTATTTTAATTGAATTGTATTTTTTATTAAATTTTATTAAAAAAGAAAAAAAATTAAAAATATATAAAATTTACAAATCGAGGAACCAAATTCAATTTATTTTCTAAAAAATAAAAAATAAAATAATAATAGTATAATTTAAAATATTGGATTGGATGGAACATTAGACCGTACTAATCCAAAGTATAAGTTCATTGAGGCCCGATCAAAAGAGACTTTTGGGTCAGGCCCATGTAAATTTTTATCAAATAAAAAGGTCCAATAGACAATCAACGTCTCCAGTTCATCCACGTGCCAACACTCCAACGGCTACCCAAAATTCAAGTTTAAATCGTAGCCGCCTGATCCATATGTCCACATCGAGCACACTATCCTAAGCAGTAAGCCTTTCATTACTCTATCAAATTTATTACATCACATGCTTGTATATATATTATGCAATCATCTTGATTAAATTGATCTCATAATTTTTTTTAAAACCTGAATCCAAGTCTTGTAATTTATTTCCTTAAAATTTTTTGGATTTTAATTATTTAATTTTTCTTAAATTTTTATATTAAACAAATAATGGATTGGACAAACCTATACAAACCCTCCAATATTATATATTATATAAATAATTTTATATTTGATAAATTATTAGTGTACATATATAAATATATAAAAATTTTATTTTTAAATTTTTTTTATTAATTAAATGTCATCATTTAATTATAATGTATAAAATTTATATATTAAAAATGTATTAAATATAAATTCTATTATATTTATATATGCCGAAAAAATTTAAATTTGGTTTTTTGTTATATGGAAGGTACAAAAAATGCAAGATTTTTGAATCTTAGACCTCTTTTTTTTTTAAAGAGAATAACAATTATTAGGTCAAGCATGAGTTACCAAAAAATTATTTTTATGTTAATATTTTAAAATATATTTAAAAATTAAAATTAAATAAAAAATATCTTTTAATAATTAAATAATATTACAGGTCCTTTCCAACTTAAAAATTTTTATTCAAGGTTCGAGGTCAACAAAACATATAAACAAGTCTAAACCTAACACTCCAACTTATTTAATATTTTAAATTGATTTTTTTATATTTTTCACTTTTAAAAATAAAAGGTATTGTATATGAAAATTATAAAAAAAATTGAATTTATAATATCAAATACCCAAAAGTTAAAAAAAAAAATTACAGGCAAAAATATCGAATCACTTTAATTGTTTTGATTTATTAGTTGTTTGTCCATTGGGCAACGAGCTGTATATTTTCTCTCAATTTTGAGGACCTTACATCGCCAAATGTGGCAGAAACTTCTGAGGGTGAGCAATAAATTTCACTTCGATTTATGTCCAAAAAAAAAAAAGAAGGCACCCAAAGTACATGGAACTTTGTTCCAAAAAACTTGATTTTAGAACATTCCAACAAATCAAAGATAAGAAAAGGTGGAATTCTGTCTTCCCTTAAGAAAATTCCTGCATATCTTTTCCCAGCATTTCCTGTCAGGTTCAGCTATCTCTAATCCAGCTTTGGCGTTCTCAGCAAAGTCATTCTGTATTCAACCAGCATCAAAACAAACAGGCAAAATGAGGACAAATAATGAAGAAGAAGAAGAAGAAGAGTTGTAATGTGATCGGAATTGAGGAGAATGGAGCTGCCAGGGGTTACCTCAATGGAATTGTTATTGACAAGGCGATCGATGAGGTTGTATAGGATGTCCTTGGTGTACTCAGGGTGGCCTTGAATGCCGAGAATGTGTTGATCAATTGCGAACATTTCCACACCTGTCTTGTCTGAGAATGCTATCACTTCAGCTCCCATTGGGACCTCCCATACCTCATCCTGGTGGCACTCTATAATAGACAGAGAAGAGGGTATTTCATCCAAGCAGTCTTCCAGGAAGCTGGGTACTGACATATCTTTCACAATTTCTACTTTCCTCAGCCCAATATCCCATCCTGTGCACGCTTTCCCAACTTTTCCCCCCAATGACCTGCACAAAACCTGTGGGAAAAAAAAACATGGAATGTAGAGATTGTTGAAATTACAGAGAAAACTGATCATGGAAATTTGGTACCTGATGGCCAAAGCAGATCCCAAGAACCTTCTTCTCCATGGCATCAAGTGTTTGCAACAGGAAGCAAAGCTTAAGAATCCAGTAGTCATTTCCATAAGCATCATAGGGACTGCCACTGACCACAAATCCATCATATTTGTGGAGTTCATTCATGTCAGGGAATTCTCCATCAACAACCCTGAACAAGTCCCATTTTTCTCCTTCTTCTCCAAAAGCTGCAACAAACACATTGAAATAACCCCCGTACACTTTCTTCGCATACTCAGAGTCCCTGGCTGCCAGCAAAAGAGCATATCTTCTTTCTCTAGCTGTAATCAGCTTCATTTCTATCAGCCAACAGCTAAAACTTCTTCAATATTTGTACGGTATCAGAATTTTAAATTCGGAAATTAAGGATGATATCTATTATGTAAAGTCGAAGATTGAGGGAGGAAAGAGGGGCTTTATATAGAATTTGAGTAAGGACTTGGAAATATTTACATGCGACATGTTTTTATGAAAGATTGTAATATTGTCATTCGAAGTTAAATCTATTAAATATCACTTCAAATGACTGCAAAATCTAACGGAATTAACATTCGATTCTAGATTATTGAAAATTAAATAAAAACAACAATTTGACAATAAGGGTTGCATGGTTTAAATTCTGTGTGGATTTTGACAGATTCGTTTGGACTTTGGAGACACGTACGATTTTAGAGCATTCCAGTTCCATTGGTTGCTAGGCAAGAGATTCACGTGTTTGTCAAGGACGGTGCTACCGTATCACATTCTTAGAGCCGTCCAAAAGGTTCAAATTAAATTCCTCCGTGACACTTGATAATTAAGGCAAATTCAACATTCAAATTCCTTCATGGCACTTTAGAATTAAGACAAATTCAACATTAGGCTTGTAATACCCTAATCTTATATCAAGATATTTTGAAAATCTATTATGATATATATGTAGAGATTTAAATTCAAATTTATGAAACATCTTTTATAGAATAAAACTATAAAACTTTTGAATTAAAATGAATAATACCTATGTTAGGTGTGAATCTCTACAAATAGTCTCAAAGCAATTACCAATCGAACGAGAGCCAAATGCTATACGATGAGAGTTATTTCTAGATGAATAGGGGATGTTGTATGAGTATCTATAGAACCTAAATTATTAATGGGCTCTCCAAGCACGTTAAAAATTCATCCTAGGGTCACTTTGTCAACTAGAACACTTAGAGGGTTAAGCTTGTCCAATATTTGATGTGATTCTATGGATTTGTGTATATCCGATAAAATTGGAACAAAACAGAAAAGATTAGCATGGCCATTACATAAGGATGACACACACAAATCAAGAAATTGTCTAAAACTTTTATTTGTAGAGATCCGTACTTAATTTACGAGTCATTGTTCGCTTTAACCTGAAGGTTTCATGATTTTATCTCATAAAAAATATCTCACAAGTTTATATTTAAATCTTTTTATATATTATAACAGATCTTTAAAATATCTCGATATAAGATTAAAGCGTTACAAGCTACGAAAACATAAAACAACTCAATTATTGATCAAACATCGAGATTTTGCCTCGATATAGTTAATGTCATAAATCAACTTCGAAACCAAATTATCTAGAACATATGCTTTGCAAGTTGCAACTTGATTTTTTTTCTCTCATATATCATTTGTCTACTTCCTTCCATTTATTTAAAGGTGAATACTTAGTCTATTTGGTTAGTTCAGTTTGAAAAAATTAATAACTAAATTAATCAATTTTCATTCAATAAATAATCGAATCAATTAAAAATTTTAAAATAATCAATCATAACTGAACCAACCAAAATTGGTTCGGTCAGTTCAATTAAACAACTAAATTTTTTATCATTTTATCCTCCTATTATGAACAATTATTTAATCATAAATTCAATCAAATAAAATTCAAATTTAAGTATTATTCAAATTAAATCACTAAAGAATATAATAATTTCAATAATATTTTATAATATAAAAATAAAAATATTTATCTCAAATGTTTTATCTTTATTTATTAAAAAATTAGTTAATTTGATGGATTCAGTTATTAGTTTTAAAAATTAAAAACCGACTAAATTAATCAATTTAACCTATCTAAAAAATTAATTATAACTAAAATCAAATATACCAAATCAAATCAATTGAATTTCATTGATTTCAACCAAATTTGATCTATTCAAATCGAATTTTTCTTACTCTTATATCAATTAAAAATTTTGATTTATATAGTAACTTTTAAAATGACTCGAATAAAGAGGCCTACCTAGTACTATTATTTAGATATATTAATATATAATTGAATAATTTTAGTGGAATTGATGTTGAAAAACGTGTTGAAATGCCATTGATTGGGTTCTATTAAAAAGAATTCCATGTTGTTGGGAATATGAGAATATTCTACAAATTGTTGGAGGTTGTTTCATGAAAAATGGATTAAGGAACATTATCTCATCATCAATGTAAGGATGGTGCTAGTCCCTCTCCCCAAGCAAATGATACTGTACTGGAATTAATGCTATGTATATGTTGCAGTACTACAAATACAATTAGTGGATGGTCCTGTAAGAAATTTTCCAAGGAATATGAATCTTCGCGAATGCCTAAAATATACGTTCCCTTGATTTGTACAATGGAAATCCCGACCACCTATTTGCTCGTCGCTGTGGCTAACCAATAAGATGGTATCAAAAAAGTTAGTGTTGTAATCCTACCCAAACGTATAAGTGTTGGGTTCTTTATTTTGAAAAAATTTTCAACATAAAATTATTTGTATCTTTACGCTTAACGTTTAAAAATTTATTTGTTTAATTTTTATTAAATTCACATAAAATAAAGATAATTTGATATTTTTTTTAATTATTTGAAATTGTTTTACTTTATCATATTTTAAAATTTAAAATTTAAAATTATTAAATATCATATTTTAAAAATAATTCGATGACTCACAATTCTCTCGATTACGATCTTTGCTTTAACAAGAAGGATATTTTAGGCGATTTGCTTCGCTACTGACATAATAAAGAGTATTTAGCGGGCTTTGTCTGTTGGAATCTAAACAGACAAACGGATAGCGATAGGGCTTCAGTATGCACTCCAATATCTAAATTCCATTTTTTTTGCTAAATTCTATCCTAGCTTTTTATTCAAGTTACAAAACTGGCAACAATTGTCAAAGATTCTACCAGAACTTTGGGTTTTCTTCGATAACATCTCTATCTAATACGTGAATGAAGAGAGGAAGGGTGAGCGGTGATGATGCTTTTGTTTAGTTTCCAAGGAGAATTTATAGTTCACAAAGCTAAGATCAAAATGTACCCAAGCCTTTAACGTAGTGATTAAAGTGTTTGAAAAAATATCAAGAATATGATTTCGAGTCGGACTTTCCTCCTCCCCTTATATTTTGATTCCCATTTAAGTTCAATAAGTTTTAGGAAGAATCATGTGGATTGAAAATCATATCATATGTATCCAGATTCGAGAATGCCTCAGTTAATCAGGAATATGCACCAAGACAGACAGCCACAAATGCCGGAGGCTATGAGAAGATCAGGACCTTGGGCTATAATAGTAATACATTCTAACGGGAAGTTTAGAAATTTTGCACCATGGAAGATGAATTGATAATGACACGTACAAAAAAAAAATTCTCCCAAGAGTGTAGGGGATCCATTGTTCGGTTTAGAATCCCTATGGAGAGAAAGAAAAGAAGATATTAAAGCATTTTAAGAGGGGCTAGGCAAGTGGGAATGTGGGATCAATGTTGAATTAATGTTTTCTTTTGCATAAGCCACAACTTTTTATCAAGTTGGACGGACATCTTGTCAACCACAGAATTGTTCCTTCACCATTTAGATTCTGGAAAAGGAATATTATGAGCTTTGATTATGCTTTTCCCATTTTTGGACCTGGATGTTCCACCAGGCGCCTCAAAGCTGCAATTTATTCCTTTTCCAAATTTTCCTTTCAGCACTGCAGCAAGGCAGGCATGAATTGTTATCAATCTTTAATCATTATATCGTAAACATTTATTAAATTTGGACTTTCAGTAACTGAAAATTTGGGATGATATATACAAGTATGAATGGTCACTTGAAACTGTGAGCAATTATAATAGCAATAGCTTGCTTTTGATAAACTTTGACAAATTAGACGGTACTCAAAGGGCCCTCATTCTTTCCATACAACGTGGTTTCATCATCACAAAATCATCTTTTTTTGCTTTCTTTTAGGCCTTTAGTTTACTTTGTTCTCCCTCAGTTGTCAAAGAAATACGGCTTCCTCCTTCTAGCTTTCAAATATTTTACACCTAAACTGGTAACTATGCAAGTTGATTGTGTTTCTTTCAAGCAGCTAGAATTAAAATTTTAGTTCAATTAATCTCGACTAATCAAATCTGTAACATACGTAAAAGGATAAGAAATCCACTGGTGAAAAATGTCAAGCAAAAGGTTACAACTGATTTCAGGCATTGGGGCTTTAAGCAACCCCAGAATATGAACCTTTTTGTCATCTTAAGCATTTTAGGAACCTTTCTGTTATCCTGATGAAGCAGAATAGATAGAGCACTAGAGCAAACTCTGGGCCTAGAATCAAACAGAACTGTGAAGTGAAGCCTCCTAAACATGGGCTTTAAACATTAACTTCCCAATGGGAATTGCATTGTCTGATGTCTCTTAGCATGGCAGCTACTGCTTCATCTCAACTTGGTGTGGTGGTGGTGGTGGTGGCATAGTTGGTAGTTTAAGCAAAGGAAAGGGTGGATTAGTTTTGTATGCAAACTTTCAATCCTTTCTTTTCTGTTATTTTCTCCTTTTTTTTTTTTTTTTTCACTTTTTCTTCTTTTCCTTCTGCCAAACATACACTAAAAGCATATAAATCTTACCCTCTTTATGATTTTATTATCATCTCCCCAGAGAGAGAGTGTGTGTGTGCTGATATCAAAAGAGCTTTTGATGAAGTTTTCAGTAATTGAATTGCGACTGTAAAGATGAGACCTTTTGCTTTTTTCATAAAATAACATAGAAAACTCTCTTGGTATCATTATCCTCTCCTTCCCCACTTTTTCTTGATTCCTGGAACTTTTGTGGGTTATAGTTCAGTTTCTTCACATTTACTCTTTCTCTCACTATTCATACTCTCCCTTGCAAAAAAAAAAGAGAAAAAACCCTACTATACTTTATAGAATTTGGGCTCTTGATAAATAAGTTTCTTGCTTTTTCCTGGAAACTTTAAGGTACGGATTTTTTTCTTGCCAAAGTTATATCCTTTCACACTCTCTTTCCCGATCACAAAGAAGCTTTTAAACTGATAAAAGAATGCATTTTTGTTCTTTGTACA